TGATTCAACCACTCAACCACTAGATGTTGCTGAAAACAACAAATCCTACACACTGCCTTTAAGTACAAAAAATATCAGATACTTTAAGACTTTTATTTAAATAATATTTTTAGAAATGACTAACTTTTACCAAAATATTTTTATGATAAGATACTTGTACTTTTATTCAAGTATCACTATGAGGTACTTTATACAACACTGGTTAATCAGTTTTAGCTGCATGTAAATAGATTATTTCTCGAAAGTGTAGTTAAAATCAGTTTAATGGACGATGAAATACTTTGCTAACAGACAAACAGGATTAAAACAAACAGTTAATGGCTACATTTCCAAAACAGATCTTGTGGACCAGTTTGCTCTCTCATTATAAAGTTAGGGATGACTTGACTACTCACCTGCCAAGTTTTAACTCAATATCTGGAAATTTGATTGAGATATAGCTTGTTTTGATATCATGAAGATCGCTAGGCTGCGGCAGCCACTGTGAACTAGAATTGCTCCAGAAGTTAATCAGCCGTAGATTTACATTCAGGGATAACATCCTGAGAATTTCATTAAAATATGTCGAGAGGTTCATGAGATATGTTGCTAACAGACAAAGAAGACTCCAACAGTGCTAACAGCATGTCAACAAATTACCATTCATCTTTTCTAAACCATTTTTACTGATCATAGTTGTCCCTTTTATGAATCAAATGCATCAATGACATTACACTATTATACAAAATTCACTTTTTAAAGTTTTTAACTCAACTTTGGGTATGTACTTCTTAAAAAAACAGTCCTAGGACCAAAAAATGCCCCCAGGGGCATATTTACTGTAAGTAAATGTATTTTTAATGTATATTAACAACAAGTTTTATACTTCCGTTATTTTGTGATGTCACAAGCCGTACGACAACCCACAGGAACCTGCGTTCAGCCCCTTATCTAGCAACCCCCGGGTGAAGCTCCACCTCCTCAGTATAAAAAGCCGTCACGGTTGTTGTTGTGTAATGTGTAGCTCATTACACAACAAGCCTCCAACAGGGCAATGGGTAGAYTGTTGGACCAGAGAGCAGGAGACCAGGGTTTGAGACTGGCACGGACACAATTTAATTATTTTCATTCGTTATGAACATGTTTTCTCGTGTCCCTCTATTGTTTAAGCTTATTAAAGCCTTGTTAAAGCCTATTTGTTTGAGTTTCTGAGGTATTTTGACAACTGCTGCTCCCTGCTCTGGTAACAGAGAACAGAGCAGAGGAGGGGGAGAAAAAAAAAAGAAGAAGCTGCGACCACGACTCTGCCTCTGGGTCTGACTCAGAGTATACAGTTGTACAACGGAGCTTCTGCTATTATTAGCCATGCTAACGTAAACACTGGCTTTGGAGGGCGGAGTTAATGTCAACAGATTTTTGGAGGGCGTTACCAACAGAGCTCATTAACATAAACAGCTTTTCTGAACGGAAGTCAGAGCAGGCAGAACTAGAAAATGGGAAATTTTTTTATCTGACAATTATTTTGTGCATTAAATTGAATGAACATGGTCTGGATAGCCCACAGACATACAGTACCATAAAAATTTATAGGACCCATAATTGGTCTCCTTAAAAAAAAAAGAAATCTGCCAATTTATGTTCATATTTTAGTGTCAGATAGCAACGGACTGTTTTCTGATTTCCTTTTAGCATAATTAATCAAATACATCAGCTACGCATCTTTCATAACCAAAAACTGCTTTTTTATGAATAGTTTAATCAAACTAATTCTGTGCTGCATGAATTAATTAGTGCTTTTCTAAGTTAAATTTAAACCACCTTCTGAATTGTGCAGTGAGGGCCCTTGTGGGATGCATTGCAGTGTTCTGAAAATTTGTGAATCGAACGAGCTAACAGGAACAGAGCTGAAAGCCACAGACAGATGAGGGAATTTAAGAAGTACTGAGGCTTACACCAACAAGTGCAATAAAAGTGTTGTTTAACAGTACGCTCTGTTTAAATAGCTCCCAGTTCGTGCTGCCGTGTATTTGTTATTAATCTCCTTTCAGCATAAGAATTCTTAGTTTCAACACGACTCGGGGGATGTTTAAACATCAGCACGGCTCGCTAAAGCGTAAAGAGGCTCTGCAATAAAACGTCAGTGCGGTACCTGTTTCTCAGCATTTCCCTTCTTCTTCTTCCCCTTCTCGTCCACATCGCTGCCCTCATCCTCATCGTCCTCATCATCATCCTCATCCCCAGATTCTTCTTCATCATCCTCTTCTTCTTCTTCTTCCTCCTCCTCCTCCTCTTCTCCATCAGACTCATCATCTGACAGAAGTGGCCCACTGTAGTCGGAGATGAGCAGAGCTCGCAGGCCGTTGTCTAAAACGACGTACCTGTCAGGTCAAAGGTGAAACAGCACGGTCATCTTTACAACACCTCAGCCTCGCCGCTTCCTCGCCACCAGTTTGACTCTGCGCGGGCCGTTAAATCARGCATAACTTTCAAGACTGTATCTTGAGGCTCGTTCTGTGCTTCTTCGCAGCAGATTTTCCGCGTACGGCCCGCAGAGGCCCGAGGTACAGATGTGTGCTTAGAGCATGAAATCATATCATCAGACTACAATAATAATAACGCGCTGATCCAGCTGGAAAAGAGGCTCGATATCATTTGTGGATTGGGGTTAGTGGATCTGGGTCATTTTYCCCAGTACTTTCACATTTATGAACGTAGAAAATAGCATCCGTGTTTCGTTGGAGGTAATAAATCCAATTTAAAAARCACTGACGACAACAGGAAATGCTCAACAGAACGCAGCTGAATTAATCATGAGAATGTCAGCATCAGGTATGAAGCTCGAGTACGCTACTTAAGGCTTTATTACCTGTACTTTTTAGGATCACTGGGTGACTTGATGATCTCACTGTCTCCGATATTGTCCTCGCCCTCTCCTCCTTTTCCACCGTCCCTTTCTCCAGCAGCCCGATTTTCCTCCAAGGACACCGGCTCCTCAGCCGAGGCGCCCGATGGGACTGAAACCGGAGACTCGGCCGCAGGGAAGCTCGTTGATTTGTTTGTTTGCGGCATCCTCAGCAGAGGTGACGGCACTCCGGCACTGCAGACTGACAGCGGAGCGCGACTCCAAACAACAGGATGGCTCACGGCCACGGGTAGTTTAGTCCTGAGCACGGAAACGCACCGTGTCAGCCTGAACAGAGCAATGATGGAGGCCTGTTTTCACAGATGTATGGCCCCTAGGGAAACAAAAACAAATAAATACAATTAGAGCAACTGCAATTTTAGCAAAAATACAACGTAAATGCTGAGTGATGCAGGACTTAGAAGAAATGTGTTAAAAAAGCTAAAACTGAAATTTCTAAAAAAAAAAAAAAAAATACATTAGCTAAAGACCAAATGTAGCAAAAAGTTAGCCAAAAGATGCAAAAGGCTAGCTAAAACTAGCAAAGTAGTAGCTAAAAACAAAACGTAGAATAAGATGGCAAAACTACAGCAAGTATGTTAATAATACAGATAAAAAACAAGGTTTTGAAAATACCTCAATGCACTTTATGGGAAAACTATTTGTAAATAAAGTTGATTATTGTAAAAAAATACAAAAGTATTAAAACCCAAACATCATAGCTTCCATTTGCTGACTGAGCTGAACGTTTTGACATACAAATAGCTCAAATGGCACAAAGTGTGCAGAAGCCGAGAACAAGATACTTACAGAGAAATAAAAAAAAAAGACTGTTTCACTGCTTCAGAACTCACACAGCTAAGCTTTACCAAGAGTCTGCGGCACATTAGGTGTTAAGCTGAACTGTCATGCCCGCACACAGACACACACAGACACACACATCACACTGCCACCACAATACACCTATTCACATGGACTGTCTGGTGGTTTCGCCCCTATTCAACTCGATGTCAGCTAAAGTCCAAACCTGCCTGACCGCCCTGAACCCACACGAAACAACACTCAGCGCCCGAGAAGTAGCTTAGTTTATAATAAAAGAGGGGAAAAAAAGGAAAAAGAAAAGAAAAACCAGCCGGGAAGTAATAACTGCTCTTTACACATAGAAATACGAACAGGTGTAGCTAAAACAGAGCACTGTAGCTCATCGAGTTTAACTAGTTTACCTAATGAATCGTATGCATGAAAACCCAAAACCGTAACCTTTAAAAATGTTTCCTTACGCCGCTAAGTTATATCCACATACCTTCTTCTTTCCTGGCTAGCAAAAAAGGCCTTAGCATATGCCGGTCTAACAAGCAGTGCTGTGATTGGCTGAAGAGATGGGGTTCCGCTTTTAAAACCTATGCTGATTGGCTTCTACAAAAAAGAGGCGTGGTTTATACTACATAACGTGTGTGCGAGGCGGACAATCATTTAAACGCTGTAAACAGTTCATCCATCGTGTAAAAGTAATATTGCATGTGTTATGTCCTATAAACGTTATGTTACATATGCTATATCCTATAAAACGTTTAATCAGCCAAACCAGAGTGTTTACATTGTAATAATGCAACGAGAGTCGTAGCTGCCTGCTGCTTAGGCCATCTGTTTCCTGATTATGTCTGCTTGATTGAAAGTGTCCAGACGGCCCTTAATATCATCACCAGTAAATATTATAAATGGTGGATTTTGAATTTCACTCTTGGCAGGTGAATTTAAAGGTAAAGTGTCTTCTCAGATGTGGTGCCCTCCTCCAGAGCTTTCTGGTGCACTTGTTAAAGGGTTCAGGTCAGGACAGCTGTGACCGGTAGGGGGCAGGCACAGGCCACGAGGAGCTCGCATTATTTACTCCTTATAGGTGGACCTCAAGACTTCTGGAGGAATGCTTATTAGTATTTTTTTTATATAATTTTTTCTTTCAAGAGCTTTGACAAAGTGTGTTAATTTGCCAAAGCATTCCAAAAGATGTGAAAAAATGAATAGGAATAAATTAACCCTAACAGCCGTTAAAAAAGAGAGTAAGAGCAAATAAAGGGAGCCTTCAGGGGAGTAAACAAATAGCTTCTCAGCCCTTAAATCAGAGTCAAGCGGATAAAAACAAACTCTTATTGTGATTAAGCCACGCTGACATTTATCCAGGGTTCTTCTGCAGCCTTTACTCTGCAGAGTGTTGGCATTTCACCTCTCTGCTGTGCCAATATGTCCTCCCCCTCACTCACCAGCTCCCTTTCGCTCTCTCAGTCTGAAGCCAATCTGATTTGCCCCTGGGTCTGTGTTGGCAGAAAGAGGTGATAAACACCGCAGCCATGACAACCGGCAAGCTGGAGACAAACGCCGGAGTTCTTGTATCCTAATGGCTCTGCTCGCCTGGCATGCGCTCTCCCCCTTTTTAATTCATCACGTCCAGCCTTCACCTGAGCTGATACTGGAGTGGGCGGGGGGGCACGGCGAGGCTCTCGGGACAGATAAAAGGTGGCCCCGGCTCTGCTGCACTTTGAGCTTTCTCATCCAGTGTTTTTTAAGATAAGCTGCCGGGATGTCTATCAGCATGTGAGGTGAAACGGCGTTAACACTGAAGCCTCCACATCGCTTTTCAATCGTGCTCCGGCATTAGTAAGCGAATAAATATTTCCTCAGTGTGGTTAATGCTAGCACTCCTGACCTGGCTCAACAATACAAGGTCCTCTCAAATACAGCCTTTGGATCACTGAAGGCCTAGCAAAACCTCTATGACATGTACGCATGCATATGAGCACAAAGCTCACCCAAAAAGCATGAAAGGAAAAGAATAGGCAACTGTGCAGAAAGTGCTTTTTCATGCCTTGCCACGGGGCAACTATCTCAGCCAAATGGCAGACTTTTGTCAGTGATCAATTGGACAGGCCCCTGCAAGCCCCCCCTCACCCCCACTTTAACACGTATGGCCTTTTTTCACAGGAAACAGCCATCATAGCTGTGGTGCGAGTCGCCGTAATCCCCGCTCTCTCATTTTTTTCATTTATTTATTTTTTGGGACCCCCTCTCTGTGACTGAACCCAAATTGAAGTTCAGATTTAGCACGCCCCAGGCCTCGCCAAGGGAAAAAAATGGAGTATGTGTTAAAAAAAAATGAAATGCAGTCCATCTGAATCACGGTGGGGCAATAAGAATTTCGTCGCCCCCTCGGACAGCTTCCCCGCTGAGCCATTTCCGAGGCTGCGGCAGCAGAAAGCCCGAGTTCTTACCTTAAAGACTCGGAGGGGGCGAGGTTTCCATGGCAACTGATTTGAATCCTAATTAAAACGGGAGATTTGATTAATTAGCTCAACGATCTGTTTGTGTGTGTGTGTGTGTGTGTGGGGGTGTGTGTGTGTGTGTGTGTGTGTGTGTGTGTGTGTGTGTGTGTGTGTGTGTGTGCATGAGCCCGTGGGTAATCCTGTGAATCAGCGTCTCGTGTGTGTGTGTGTGTGTGTGTGTGTGTGTGTGTGTGTGTGTGTGTGTGTGTGTGTGTGTGTTCCCTGTCTCCCAGGAGGCTTGTCCTTGCCTGCAGTGCTGCTGTGTGAATCAGAGGTGAGTCCTCCAGAGTTGCCCTTTGCTTTAATCTGGAGCTAATGACAGAACCACCTGCCCTTCTGGCCATTCTACCCCCACCCCCTCTTTCGCTGCAAATCACAGCCATCCCTCTCAACCCCCATGTGCCCACTGCTCATTGTTTCCTTTTCGCTCTCTCACACAGTCAGTCTGTTGATTTCCTCACCCTCCTTCTGTCCCCGCTTCTCTCTCCTGCCTGCCTTCTTCTCCTCCACACAAAGTTCAGGGTGCCCTTGCCAGCCTCTCTGCATGCCTCAACCTAGCTGAGTAAAGATACACCGGGGGGGGGGGGGGGGGGGCAGAGAAGACCCTAAAGAAATCAGGGCATGTGTATGAGAGGGGGACGACGACACAACACGTAGCATCGAGCAGCCCGTTGGATTTGCAGTCCACGTTTTCCCCGCTCTCGTCGCCGTGTCCTCGAGTCTGGAGTGCGTGTGCACTCGCGCGTGCAAGCCCGCCCGTCCCGGCGGACGCCTCGTGAGCAAAAGCCTAATTGGAGAGAGCCACGAAACCGCGATGACCACTTTGCGCGATACGTCCTCGGTGGAAGTGAAGATGGGAGATGAGCGTGCGGAGGAAAACAAAAGTGGATTAAATCAAAGAAACGGTGGCAGGGAAACAAGTTTGTGTTAACAAGGACACACACGGCAGTCAAAGCAAGAGTGGGAACAAGAGGGGGAAACAGAACAGAGGGAAAAATAAAGAATCTAAGTATAATCTAAAAGAAATAATTCAGTGTGGACACAAAAAAATGCCTTGGAGATAGGGGAAGCGGAGGAGGAAGAAAGGAGAAGTGTCTGAAATGAAACAGCATGAATCCCCATCTATTTCAGCACTGGACAGCTCCACAGACAGCACTAGGCCAGTATAAATAGATCCCCTACTTTAGAGGCCCAGTCAACACTCCAAAAAGCTCAGAGCTCCTGCCCCTGATGAAAAGACATGCAGGTATCTGATGGTGGCTGATAACATCTCCTTTTTTTCTGGTTGTTTTTCCAGTTCCTCTCCGTTTGTTTTCTTAATTTAGGGAGCCTCCACAGTTCAGCAGCATCACTACAAAGTGTGTTTTTTTTTCTTGATAGATTCTCCTTCATGGACCATGGCATGCTAAACTTTTTGATCTCATTACATCACTGATTTGGCAACTGCAAAAAGAAAAAATAAGAAAAGAAAAAATAAGAAGGGAAAGTAACCTTTAAAACGCGCGCGTCATTGCAGCGTCTTCCCGTGCATCAGCATCCCTTCACGTTTAAGTGACTTCATCAGTCTGCAATGCGAGGCAGGAAGCATGACGTCCCTGTGTCTGTCTGTGCATGCATGCTCAGTGTCTGTCAGCATGTTCCCACTGCAAGCAAGCGTTAAGTAGGCTTGTGGGGAAGCTGCAATAACGGCTAATGCACCTGAGAGCCCTGAGATCTATACCCATCATCTGCATCTCCCTGATATTACTGGAACCATCTCTGTTACCGTTTCTGATAGGGATCTCCAGGGAGAGCTTTCCCCTCCTCTCCACTGCTACGAGGAGACTGGGAGGAAGCAAGGAGGGAGGGAGGGAGGGAGGGAGGGAGGGAGGAGTGCACCTCTCCATTCCCTCAAGGTGATTCACCTTATGATGCACGCAGAAATCAATGTGAAATTGAACTGAAAATTGAACTTTCAGCACAGTAATGTGGGAGACATGTTTTTATTAAATCTTTTCCTTTAGCCATGAAAGTGGCTGACTTGATATTTGAATGCTTGTTTTCAACACACCGTGGCAGCTTTATCTGAGACCCTTTCTGGACCAGGGGTTTTACAGGGGCCCCTATAGCTGTCACTTAGAGGCAGTATTGACGGCTCAGCAGCCACCCAGAGGGTTGTGATTAGCTGGTGCAGGGAGCTGGATTCAATGTCGGTGGGAAATTTGGGGTGGGGGGTTGCACACAACACCATTTCCAGGATTTGCCAAATTACTGCTAGCAGCACGTTTTTGGCGAGATTGTTAGAAAATATAAAAGAATCAATGCCATATATTGATGAAAACAAAAATACTGACTTTATTTTAGAGCATTTGTTTGCTTATTTATGCCAGTGGTTCCCAAAATTTTCAGCTTTTTGTCCCACAAAACAGTAGCAGAGACCTGTGCCCCCAATTACTTTTCATCTATTTTAGGTATACTACCCCACTATAGGTCCGAACCCCAACTTTGGGAACCACTGGTTTAACCTGCTTGAGGGGTGCCACAAGGAAGGGTGTTGGCACCCCTAAACATTTGCTTCCCCTGTGCTGGATCAAACAGTCTCATCTTCCTGAGTTGTAGTGTAGTGTCTAAGAGTGGGGGCCTCTTCTCAGGAATGCACAGATGTGTTATTGCCTCAGTTCTCCAGCTTCAGAGCTCGGCACACCATATTAGGAAAAGGAATGCTTAAGGTATACCGTGATAAAATTTATGGTGCCTCTGTTGAACTACACTGTGCAATCTATAAAAAGGCTTGTACACCCCTGCCCTTCGCCTTCGTTCTTCATCTTTCTTACTTGGGGAAACATTTGGCTTGAAGGCCACAATTTGGTTTTTGGCTGGAATCTCCTGGACTGCAAAATAAAGATTCTTGCTGTTCAACCAGCCTGTTTCAGAGTTTCTCTCTTCATTGAGCAGCAGCAGTTCTGCAGAACCAGAAGACGTGGTTTTTACACCTCAGTAGCTGAATGTTGTATTTTTGGAACCAGATTCTGCGCACTTTGGGTAAAGCGTTAAGACCCCCTG